GGCGGCGGTGGTGGTGGCGGCGGTGGCGGCGGCGGCGTTAGTGGTGGCTGTGATTAGGAAGATGGCCATGGTGGTGATGATGATGGTGATGGTGATGGTCTAACTCATGATGATGCTTCATGACAATCATCATGATGATGGTGCCGCAGAAGAACAGCATGACCGGCGCACTTGCATGTATGTATGCCCACATGCCCACATGTGTACACAGGGACGGATGTACAAAGGTTATGAATGCATGTGACATATGTTACAGCAACATAGCAAGACGCTGAATAATGACAACACGGACAGATGTCCGCATAAGACTACGCTAACCAAAACAACAAGACACGGGCATCTGAACACCCTAGGTCGTGTGCCAGGTCGTTCGCAGAAATATGCAGCTAGACCTTGTCTTTGAAATTCAATGCTGTCAAAACGTGAAAGAAGCCAATCTGTTGGTACTACAGAACTGAAAAGCCTTCTTATTCCAGTTCGTCCATGCTTTCATCACTCTAAACAACATAGCAGCAGACATTACCTGCCTGCCCCGATGTGGCTCAGAGCTGTGTCGGTGAATTTGTCTGGGCAAACGAAGCTCAGCGTCAGCTTCTCGATTCCTGAGGTTCAGAGTTTTGGGTAGGGACTTCAGCCTTCAGGCTCCAGGATCGGAGAAGTGGAGTTGTCGTCATTTGTCGTCAACACTGCAACGACTCAGCGCTACAACCAGACGCGAAGACAGTCAAGTTTCTGTGGCTTGCTATCGACCATACTTGTAATCAAAGCTGCAGACAACCCTGGGTACAAAACGTCCTTGCAATCGCAAAATGCAACATGTGATATACTAGAACTTCTTTAAGGTACCACTATCGCCTATGGCACGAAGAGCGGGACAAAGCATCACAAGGCACAGGCAATGGGAAGCAACGGCAAAAAGTCATGACACCACTTGTCAGCAAAGAAAGGGAGTTGCGTGTGAGCCGCATGCAGAAAAATATAATGTATGTGTACAATGCACTGCGTGCTAAGATATATGGTCACTCATAACCCGCAGAGACACTCAACAAATAGTGAAGTGCACTTACCTGTCCTGGCGGCAGCGCCGATGAGAAGCTTTCCAACTCATCGTCAGTCGTCCATTCCTCCAGGCATCATGTGACATGCTGCAATGAATGGTTCATGACTGTCGGCAGCATGCTGTCGCAGTTTTGTGGAGCTTTCAGCAGACCATCGACAGCAACGAACTAGTTGTCTCTGAATGCCTTGTCTTTTCCTGATGACCCATCATATCATACATCTTATCAACCCATCAGCCAATGCAGATGCCTGCATGCAATGACTGGTAGTCCGATGGGTCTTCCTTAAGCGGTCTCCTCTATCTTGTCCTCAAAGGTGCGGAACATCCAGCTGATGAAGTGGCTCAAAAGAACCTGCTTGCGTGTACTGTCCTGAAAGATGTGGTTCTTGCTGCTGCACAGGCTGTCCACGGCGTTCGCTAAGCAAGCACGGCATTGACGACTCGTTAGCTAGAAGCTGCGTGGTGTTTGTTTCTTGTGGCTGGCCAGACACGGGTCGGTGCGAGGGAGGGCGGCAGGAAGGAAGGAAGGAAGGAAGGAAGGGAGGGAGGGAGGGAGGGAGGGAGGGAGGGGAGGGAGGCAGTTAGTGTGGTAGCGGCTGCATTGTCGTGGTAGTAGCACCAGCAGCAGCAGCAGCAGCAGCAGCAGCAGCAGGAGTAGTAGGAGTAGTAGTAGTAGTAGTAGTAGTAGTAGTAGTAGTAGTAGCTGCCGTAGCTAAGCAACGGATGTCAAACAGGCACCAGTTTCGTTGGCTGGTATCAGAACCTCTATAAGCGCGATT